CTATTTTCAATCATTGTATTTTGTTTTTTTAAGCACTTCCTAAATAAATTGATTTTAAAATTAATTTACTACTCGTGTTATCACAACGAAAAATGAGGCAAGGATTTGATATGTAAAATCGATAGGAATATTCTGGAAAAGTACTATGGCAGAATGGAAAAACACTTGAAGATTTGTAATATTGGTGTTAAATTTATACTTCGGAGTTGACGAAAATAAAGAGCCATTTCGCCCATTTTATCCTGATACGCAAGTGCCGAGATTTAATCAATTATGCCACGATAGGTATTTTCAAAGTGTTTTATTGGTGTACGTATGTATGTACGAAGGTTTTTTATTATTATTTAATTAATCGCTTTTATTTATACTATAATTAAAGAGTTGAATATAACAAAATGACTAAATCATCATTATTTTTTAAAATAGCTAAGAATGTTTAGAAGAATTGATAAACTAAATTGAGAAATGTGATGAGTAAAATTCTCGAAATCCCTCGCTTAAATTCTAAAAAAAAATCACCATGACCTCGTAGCGGTTATCCTTGATTGTTATCCACTGTTATGGAGATAATTGACAATTTCTTCAGGGTCAAATTCTCAACCTTTGAGATCAAATCGGGAAACTAGTTTTGCCCGTCCACGAAAATAATAATAATAATAATAATAATAATTTGAGCTTTTGCGATCCTAATTGTCACACCACAAAATTTCATTATCCAAAGAAAAGCTGTTGATTTCATCCTTGAAAAAGATTTTTAGTTGATTTGCTTTAATTAATGGTAATTTGGGATATTTTGGTGAATGCCAAATGCAATTCTCACTTGAGGAGACTTCAGACAGTAACTAATATAAATTTTAGTATTAGTACCTTATTAATATATATTGTTAAAATGAAACAAGTTCTATTAATCATAAGATATATGCTTGCTTAAAAAATTTTGCTAAAAACATGTAAATAAATTCTGTAGATTAATATTTTTCTAATAAATTAATATTTTATTATTTTTATAATAATTTTTTTTTTATATTTATACCTTTATGTTAGTTATTTCTTACTTTCTTACAATTATATTTATTAATAAATTAAGATCAATTTAAATTTTTAAAAAAATCAATATATTTATTCTTAAATTTTTATGCTTAAAGATTTATATTAATTTTAACTTTTTTTTAATAAATTATTAAAGATATAAAAAAAAAGTTTACTAATAAAATTGAAAAAGATAAAATATAATTATTAAAATTAAAATTAAAATCATTTATTTGAAAATAA